TGTCGGCCGACTGGGGAATTGAGACACGTTCCCGTCACTCGAAGTACGAAACATACCTCGTTTCCCGTGCCCGGGCTAACTCCGTACCCCAGCACAATGCAATATGCATGAGATGCATGAATGCAACTAATATACAACGCTAGCATGCACAATGCTATGAAATGGCTTTACACGATAACACGAGGGTTAACATGGCATACACAATGGCGCTAACATCACAACCTGTAGAGGAGCTTAATTAAGCCCACTAAATTTCTTAGGCTCCATAGCCCAAGATTAGTGGCCGAATTTTCGAAGTCCAAAGAATTGGTGGCTGGATTTATACGCCGTCAAACGGCTGAATGGCTCTAAAGCCTCGAAAGGGTTCGATCCATGAACCTATGGACTTACTCGGGCCCCGGACTCAAAGGGATTACAAAGCACCTAGAGAATCGAGGCCTCGGACCTCGAAAGGAATTCGGACCGCACCGCAATCTTAGAGACCGAAGTTACTTGGCTCGAACGGATTCAGACGCAATCTAGAAGTCGCTCCGTTAATGAGTCCCGAACACTTGCGGGCTCGAGCTTTCCGGGATCTACGCACCAGAACCATGGCGTAATGGAGTCGAAACAAAGGACCCGATCCGAGGACTCGGTAGGTGGAGACAAATTCACTCTTCGGTTAAACCTAGCCTATAACCGGGTCGCGGTGGCACGACCCCGGGGGGTCCATGAGACTCGCAAATATTTTGCGGTAGGCGCCCTGGGACTACCCCTGACCTTGGGATATGGGATCATGTTAGGGTGGTGGCTAAGAAGAAGGGTTCGCCGAGGGAGTGGATCTCCTCTTACGAGTTTTCTCATCCTCGAGATAGTCCACCTCCTTCGGAGAGGTCCACCCATCCTCGGACAAGGTGGTTAGAGAAGATATCCCCATAATGCCTTGCACAATGGGTTTTCCAATGCCTACATCATGAGGTGCCTATAACTAGCACCACCCATAGCTTAACCAAGGATGATTTATTGGAGAATTTTTAACCCTCTTGGGCAAAAGAACTAATTTCCCTTCTTCCATAATCAACCTTGAGAGTGAAAGTGGGAGATCAATGGGAGAAGCCTTGCCATTTAATTCTTTCTCTAAGCCTTTTGCCTTCTTCTTTCACCCATCTCGTTATCTCCATCAATCTCCTTGTTGTTGTGTTTCCTAAAGTTTGAGATTATTGAAAATCTAGCCTCTCATCATATTCTAGAGAATTCGACTTTCGAATTTTTCACACTCCCTTCTTTGAACCCTCTCCTACATTTTTGGCGACTCCGCTGGGAAGGCGGATTGGTTTAACTGGTCTCACACAGATCTAGAAATCCACACACCTCCCAAACAAGAACCGGCGGAGAAGATGAAGTTTCAACCAACAAAGGATCCCTCCTAATGGTGGTCGTGACAGAACATGCACTCCGATCAACCCACTTTTGCGCTTGAAGCCATCAAGGCTTCAGAATCCAGCCAAGAGTTCTTAACCAATCTTCAGAATCTCCTCCACAACCATGTTTCTGGTGATGAGTTCTAACTTGCCACCGGCGCCAAACGGGAACAAACTGGTGGTGGAGTTATTCACGCCGAGCGCAAAATCAAATCCAAGGCAAAGTAAGGCCCCAATCAACCCTACTGGCTCATGGCAACACGGCTACAGTAACCACACATTGCTCAAAGCCAACAGTAGCGCGGCGGCAGTTTGCCCATGCCGGGCTCCATGCGTGCCAGCCAAGATCCAATGCGTGACTAGGGGAGTTTTCTAGTGTAATGAATGGCTGCTCCGGCGATGTTGGTGTCCAGGAAAAACATCAAGGAGCCGTGATGGCACAAAGGGAGCCTTCGCCCGTACCTAAATCCTTGTTACGCCACCAGTGAAGTTACCCAGCACCAAGCGGGCCTCCTTTGGTGCCGACAACCAAATCTGCCAAGCACAACCCGGTATACGGGCGGCGCCGTGCCGGTGGACTCTATGGGCCTCATTCAATATCCCATCACCAACTGGCTTGTTATAGGCGCTGATGGCCAGTATCGTCAAATGTCCGTCCAAACCAATGAATGAATTCGCAGCCCAGAATGGCAAAGAGCGCCCCTAACTCAGTCTTACGGGTTCATAGCCAAGTCCCGGGAAAATACCAACCATCAAGACTCTCTCCCTCAAACAGTTTTCCACTCTCTGCCGATGTGCAAGCCCATGTTCGATCTCGAACGGGGCAGAGGACCTACCCTCTTTGCCTGATCCAGACGTCCAAGCGCCTACCCCCATTGAGGATGCTGAGCATCATACCCTGAGGGTATCAGTGCCGAAGTTCATCAGTTCACGGCAAAAAAGGAAATGCCCGAGAACAGTGGCGATTCATCGAGACTCTAATCTCTCTCACACTCTCGACATGATACACTCCCCTAGTTGGAGGCCCTAAATTTTGTTCAAAATTGGGAGCCCGAGACAAACGCCTTAGTCGCCTCACCTCAGGGCCGGCCCTGTGATTGAGCACGAGATGGTGTTGTGAGTGAGGATTGACGATAGAGGATGATGATGAATCAATGTGACAATGGTAAAAAAACCGTCTTCATAGATGTTAAGTTCTTCTTTTTTCCTAAAGTGAACCCTAAATCTAAAATTATAATTTTATGCTAAATAGAAAAACGTGGTCACAGACTTTTTATTTATTTATTTATTTTTTAAGCTTTTCCTAAAGTCAAAATGAACCTAAATGTTGTTCTACAGCAAAGGAAGGAGACAACTTGCGTGTGATTGTTATCCACTCTCAAATCAGTTTGTATTTGAATATACTTCTTTCTTCTTTATTTTTTATTATTATTTATTGTTATTCTATTATTTTATGGATTAGGATTGTGGGAGAGAATCCTTATTTGACTTGGTTGTAAGTGTTTTCTTATTAGTTTTCGATTGGATTATAAGAAACTAAATTAATTTAATAACTAGAATTCTATTCCTTGTGGGTTTGGGTTTAATACTTGGGTACGATTTTTCTATTATAAATATGGATGATTTCTCATGTTGAAATATTTCAGGTTTTTGTGAGAGATTGCAAGGTACGCATTCGTTCTTGTTTGATATTAAAAATTATTATTTGTACGATTGCTCTTGATTAGTGAAAATTATTGCTCGTGGAGGTAGGTTTTGCTGAACCACATAAAATCTTGGTGCCGTGTGTTTCCTTTCCATTCTCTATATTTGTATTTGTTTTAATTCTAATTCTAGTTTTTATCCTAATTATTCATAATAATCATCAACTTTGATGTAGTTGGGTGTTCTAGATAAGCACAACAATCTCAAGCATAACAAAAAAATAAAAAAAAATTAAACTAAATGAATAAATAAATCTCAAACAAGAAACAATCAGACCATAAAACTTCTCAAACTCAAAATCCACACAGGATTTAGAGCAATGGTACAAACAAAAATGACTAATAAATTGCTCACGAATACATGAGAGCAGTGGGACGTACACCATTATTTTAATTATTAAAAAAAAAAAAGAAATTACAAAAAATACTTCAGGGTTTAATCCTTATAAGAAAATAAATTTTTTCTTTTATCAAATTGTATTTTAATTTTTTGATTTTGTTTGTCTATATTTGATAAGTAAAATCATTGGAAAAAATATATATATATTTTAGTCATTAAACTCAATAAAAAATAATATTTTAGATGTTTTATATACACCTACATTGGTTCTACTTACTGAAAATAAGTAAATAGTTTAAACTGAAAATAAATCAAAAATTTTAAATTTAAATTAACAAAATTAAAAACTCATAGTTTATTTTATTAGAAAGATCATACTCAATTATTTTTTTTTTGGAGTAACTGTTCAAAGAAAAATGTTGTGGTTGCAATTTTCATGGCCACTCTTGTCACCACTCTTTCATATCACTAGCAAAATCGTGCACACATAATTTTCATACAAAATTTAAGACACGAATAATGTGGTAATGCTAGTCTTGCAATTATGAATTAGATTGATGAATGACTATAAATGTAACACATTATTATCCATGAATTTTTTAAATACAAATTCTGTTTGTATAGTATTACTTGGAAATTTAATATCCAAATCAAACTGGATATAGAATGTTATTATAAATGTATGCTTCCTTTAGATTTTGTTTAGCAAATTTTAGTACCCATCTTCTTGATCTATCTCCCTTTTATATCATTATATATGTATATATATATTTGTTTGTTTCATATTTGATATTTTTTATTTTGGTATCATCAGATCATACAATACCATAGACATGGATCATAGCTATGCCTACTGTTGTTGGGAGGACGAGAAAATTTTTGCCACACCCTCTTGTGGGCCGATTGATGATGGCATTTATGTTCAACTACAATTTTCTAATGAACTCAAGAAACCTACTCGTGGCAGCGATAGTATTGGCAAGAACCACGATAGTGATGTTATACTGCTAGACTCATATAGTTGGGTATTTTTTTTCAGTCGCAACGATTTTCTAGAGAGCGAGAACATGAAAGTATTTTTGTTTGGTCATTTACATTGTAGGAATTTACCCTCGAGTATTGAAGAGTCAATAATAAATGAGGTGCGCAGATTTGCTCGTGTAATGGTGAATTTGTACCCAAACCCAAAAGTATTGCCGATTGTTCTAGATGTTGTGGTTAGAACATTTCAAAGACCTGATTTGAGCGTGGAAGAGGCGGTTGCCAGGATTATGAGAGAAATTATGAGAGAACCCAATCATTTCATTTCGTTGCCAACCACAAAATCATCCATTGAAGCATTGGAGAAAAGGACTCCTAATGATTCATGTTTAGTTCAACCATGTGCGATTGCTTCTCAAAAAAAAACATGCGCGTTATGTTCGAAAACTCTTCTAATTAGAATTAACGTTACTACGTTACCGTGCTCTCATAAATATCATGACAAGTGTATTTTTAAACGGTTCAAGATTAGCCAAACGCGTCCTGTGTGGCGCATGGCATTCTAATTTATTAGTATATATTTTGGTTATTTGTTATGTTACTAGAAGTGTAGCACCCATTATGTGTGTGCATAATATTACACCCCATATATATATATACTGCATTTTAAATTTGTTTTGTTTTGATTCTTTTTTTAATGTCAAATTCACTGTAAACTGAGTTTTACTATTCTCGTCAATCAACTCTTATCAAAATATGCTGATGTCACATGTTTTAAGACTTTAAATACCATTCAACTTGTTTGGTTTGGATTTTCAAATTTTACTTTTTAGAAAATTGAAATTTTTTATTTTTTTTTATTTTTTTGCTTTCACTAATTTTTTTTTAATATTCTAAGAATTGTTTTTAATTTTTAGATACACCTAACATAAATACACTTAAAAAATATAATATTTGTGAAATTGTTTTTTAGAAAATTCAAAAAATATCAAAAATACAAAAAAAAAAATACTATTCTCGTCAATCAACTCTTATCAAAATATGCTGATGTCACATGTTTTAAGACTTTAAATGCAATTCAACTTGTTTGGTTTGGATTTTCAAATTTTACTTCTTAGAAAATTGAAATTTTTTATTTTTTGTATTTTTTTGCTTTCACTAATTTTTTTTTTAATATTCTAAGAATTGTTTTTAATTTTTAGATACACCTAACATGAATATACTTAAAAAATATAATATTTGTGAATTTTTTTTTTAGAAAGTTCACAAAATATCAAAAATACAAAAAAAAAAAAAATTATGTGAATTTAGTATATTTTCGTATTCTTGTATATTTATTAATTTTTTAAAATATTTTTTTATAACTATTTTAGTTTTAGATACATCTAAGTAAGGTGTATCTTAAAAAAAAAAAAAAATTGCTTTGAATTTTAAAAATATTCACTAAAAACAAAAAAATTTAAAAAAATAAAAAAAAACTCAATTTTTAAAAAATTAAATCCAAAAAATTAAAACCAAACATATTAAGTAATACCCTTGAGTGTCTTCTACCTCCGAAGACCCAACAAGCTTACAACAAAACACTACCCTCAGCCAAACAGTACCATCATTAATATATAGAAACGTCAATCAAATGCTGTTTTTCAAAAACAAAATGTATCTCTTAAGTTACATTTTCAAATTATATTTTATGAATTTTTTTTTTGAAAAATAGAAATTAATTTAAAAAATAAACACCAAAAAAATATTTTTAAATATTTAAAAATTAATTATGCACCCAAAAAAATGTGAAAATGATGAGTATTTTTACACCAAATTAATTTTTAAGTTTTTCATAACTTCTTTAGAAAATTAATTATGAAAATTAAACCAAACAAAGAGTGTTATGATTCACACCATCCCTATATCTGTTTATATATGTATATTTTTTGAATTGCCTTGTACTAGGAATGTTGCTTATTTTAAAATTAATTCTGCACCCAAAATAGAAAAAAATATGTGAAAATGATGAGCATTTTTTTTTTTATTTTAATTTTTTACACCAAATTAATCTTTAGTTTTTTCATAATGTTTTTGGAAAATTGATTGCGAAAATTAAACTAAACAAAAAAGTGTTACGATTCGCTTTCCCTATATAGTGTGTATATATATTTTTTTATATGTTTTGAATTGCTTTGTACGAGAAAGGTTGGTTATGATAGCATAATAGTGTGACCTTTAAATAAAAATTAAAACAAACAAACAAACAAAAAATAAAATAAAAAACAAAAAGAGAAATAAAAATAAGAATTCTAATGGGAAACAAAAGAGAAATAAAAATAAAAAATCTAATAGGATTTAAAAGTTTAGTCATGGTGACTATATTCCCAAATTCAGTGAGATTTTTTTTTTTTTTCAATAGCCTTGCATGGTGGGATATAAAAGTTTAGTTATGCTTACTTTAAATTTAGAAAAAATTTCATTTCAGGAGTGATTTTGAAAATTAGTTATTAAAAAACAATAAATTTTATAAATATTAATAATTAATAATTAAAAACCTAATTTTTATTTATTTTTATTTTTTTATGAATGTGTAATATTTCCTTAAATTTAAATGTAAGCTCACTTGGATATGGAAGCTGACGATAGCCTTAGATAGTAAGTCACTAATTTATCTTTCTCTAGGATTTGGTGGGTTAGATGCGGCAACGTTGGAGTAGTTGGGTTAATAGAGAGAGAAAGATGGAGTTGGGGTATTTTAGTCATTTAATGTTATTTTTTACACTGTTTGGAATAAAGTTAGCAAAAGGGAGAATCTTTATAATAATTTCAAAAGTAAGGGAGATTAGTGTTATTATTAAAACTACAGGGAAGGCCCTTATAATTATACAAAACATCAGGGGAGGTTAGTGTAATTTACCCTATAATTGATGGGTGTGAGTAAGGGTGAGCAGTGGATATTCCGATCCAAACTGACCAAACCGAACCAACCCGCCGCATTTTGGATGAATGTGTGATGATGAGCGGATGGTTACGGATTGATTTTTTCCAATCCGCCCAATTTTGGACGGATAGTGGATTTGAGATTTCTTTGGCTGCAACCGAACCACCAAACCGTGAGTGCCCCTAAAAATTTGTAAAACTTTATTTTTTCAATTTGTTTAGATATTCTGTTTGTATTTTCAATTGAAAAAAAAGTTTAGATATTCAATTGTCTTTTCAATTGTCATTTCAATTTGTTTTCAATTTGAAAGTCCTATAAATACCACCCCTCTCACATTTTATTTCTCACAAACAAATTTGTCTCTCAAACTCTCATTCTCTCTGAACTCTCAACTCTCTCAATTAATTTTGAAGTGTCATCCCTAAGTGACAATTGCAATTGATCACCTATCTCTATTTTAGATTTATTTTTAGCCATAGTATCTTCATTAAAGATAATAGAAATAATAATATACAAATGATATACTTTTTAAAATATCTATATACACTTATAGACATATATATATATATATATATATATAATTTAACTAAATTTTAATAAAAAATATGTTGAAAAAATTATCTATGACGTGATTTTATTTTGTTGTACTAAGTAATTTTTCTCCTAAATTTTTTCCCAACTTTTCTTCATTTTTTTCTCCACTCAATTTTCTTTCCCTTGATTTGTCCTAGTTGTGCCTTAGCTCTCTCTATTTCTTAATCAGGCTTCTCTATTTCGCTCAAATCATCAAACGTCCATCATTGATAGTTCTTCCTCACTGGATTCTTCTTCTCTATACTCTTGTGTCTCTGCAATAGATCCTTGAACTCGTCACTATTCTCTTTGTCTATTTCAACACCATTCATTCTGGTGATATTTCTCTATTTAGTAAATGCATTTATCTCGAAACTCTAGCTCTTTCACATTAATATGTCATACATATACAAACCTTTGGCCGTAGTTATGATTTTATCAATTTGTACATATGTTATAGAATTGTTGAAAAATGAATATTACGCATTTTGTTGTACTGTTCTGCTATCTCAGCTCTCTTCATTTGTCAAGCATCTCTCTCATTCCTTACTGTCGCTGTAGATATCTCCAATATTCCTTATCGGAAACACCACCATCTTTGACATTATTTTCACAGGCGATAAGTCTGTTCAGTCTCTCTTTCTCATATTCCCTTTCCTTTTGCTCTATTGGTTAATCTTCTCTAACTCTCATTTTGTGTTCCATGGCTATAAGTCGTGGATTAAAGTATTTAATTATTGTTATTACATTCTATGTTTATCTGTATCATTAGAGATCCCGATTGGTCTGAAATAGAGAGAGCAGAGAGAAGAGAGAAGAAGAGAAAGACAGAGAGAAAGAGGAAGAGAAGAGAGGGGAAGAGGGAATTGAAAGAGAGAGAGGGTCGATCACCGCCGCCTCCGCCTCCGCCTCCACTTCCGATCTCTGATCTCCTCCTCTGATCTGTGTATGAGGATGATGTGTTGAATTTTTTTTTTTCTTCAGATTTTTACATTTTTTTTGGTCTCTCTCTGCTGGTATTTCATAACTAATTGATTGAGCAGCAGCTCGTAGACCACCTAAAAAGGAATATTTATTATTTGATCCATATCCGGACATAAGAAGTCCAACAGGAGCAATGCTTGAAATGGCAATCCATAAAAAAACACCGATACTGAGATCGGCTAGAATAAGACGGTAGCCAAAAGGAATTATTGAATAACTTAATAAAATGGATATGACTGCTATTGATGGTCCAATACTGAATAAACGAGTATCTCCTCTAGATGGAAGAATATTCTCTTTGAAAAGCAATTTTGTACCATCTGCTAGAGCTTGAAGAATTCCCAAAGGGCCGGCATATTCCGGGCCAATACGTTGTTGTATCCCTGCGGATATTTCTCTTTCTAACCAAACAATTACTAGTACACCTATTGTGATTCCTAATACAAGAGTCAAAATAGGAACAAACATCCATATGATCCCATAGACTTCTTTTAAGGATTCCAATCTAGAAAAAGAATTGATAGCTTGTACTTCTATTGTATTAATTATCATTTCAACGATCAACTTCTCCCATAATGATATCTATGCTACCTAGTATTGTCATAATATCGGCCAATTTCATTCTTTTAACTAATTGAGGAAGAATTTGCAAATTGACAAAACCTGGCGGGCGAATTTTCCATCGCCCAGGAAAAACACTCTGATCTCCTATCAGAAAAATTCCCAATTCTCCTTTTGGAGCTTCGACTCTTACATAAATTTCTTGCTTCGACAATTCAAAAGTCGGAGAAGGTTTTTTACTAATGAATCGGTATTCAAAATCATTCCATTCGGGA